GCGGTCTGGCCTGCCCGGCCCAACCGGAGGAGCAGCAGACCGGGTTCGCTTGGGTCGTCGACGACACCCATGCTCGAGAGATGGAGAGAGAGATGAAGGAGGTTGGGGGAAAGGAAGGTGTTTTGGAATTTATAATTAAGATGGTCGACGAATGTATAAAATTGGAATATAAATAAATAAACATAGATTTCATAAAATTATCCTAAACTATTATATCTTTAACTTAGATATTAAGGAAGATTATTTACATACATGCCACTGAATAAATTACTTGTTTTCTCATTTATGCAAATATTACATCAGGACTCCACATGTAGAGTTACATGCGAAGTCCTATGAAATTACGTCGAGATGATAGACCCGGTAACACGAGAGAATATTCTCATCATATTATTCCGTATTATTTATGTGTTATTGTATGTTATTCATGTGTTATTGTGTTCTCAGAATATTCTTAGTGTTATAATAACACAATAACACATAAATAATACTTGAATAACACACAATAACACCTGAATAACACATAATAACATCTAAATAACACAAGAGAAATATTCCCTTATGTTATCGGACAAACTTTTTTTTTCTAGGTCGCGTGATTTCATTTGACTCCGCATGTAACTCTACGTGCAGAGTCCTGATGTAGTATTTTATTTTTTAGAAGTTATGATGGTGATACTGCTTATGTGATATAAAATATTGGAGTGATATAAATATAAAAAGTAAAGTTTAGATGTAAGATATGTAAATACATAAGAATTAGGTCATATATAGAGTTGGCTCAATGACCTGTTGGCTGGCGTAAACGATATAAGACTCTAGGCTGGGGATTCGAATTTTCTCTGGCGCAGTTGGTTTTAAAGAGATGATATTCTAATTGTTAAGCACATTAGAGGATAGCTAGAGAGGAGACTCGTATAATAACCTCAGATTTTAAATAAATTTTAAAAATTAAATATCATTAAATTTAAATTTTTTCTCCATTTATGATAGAAATGTGGGTTAGGGGTACGAGTTAGGTGGTAAATTATTTCCTAAATAACTATTTTAATATTTACACTATTTTTGTAAGAAATTGCTTGGAATATATCGAGTGCAATTTATCTCAATTATAAAACATTCCCACGTAATATAATTCAATAAAGTAATTACATGTTTATCTTTAATTAAGCGAAATGCGACCGCATTTTTGCAAAAAATATCATTTTTTATATCGAATAAAGTAATTCAATAAAAATGTTATTTAAATAAAAATAGCATTTTTAAGCTAAATTCAATTAGCTTCGGATACTATAATTTAATTTTTTTTTAATATGGAGAAAAAAATAGAAAAAGCCAAATCCGTCCAAACATTCAACGTCCCTTAAAGGCTTCTTATTGTATGAATATTATATTCGAAATATTTCATTTTTGCAATGACGGGTCCATTTCAACCATCATCATATAAATTGAGAAAAATATAATTAAGACCAATAATATTTTTTAAATTTGTGTGAAAATTGTAAAATGCTTCTCGAATGATTGATTTCAAAATAATTTATTATTTTCCCTAATTTATAAATGAGCCCAAAAAATGAAAAATTGATTTGCATGCATACCACTAAGGTTGTTAAAAAAGCTCGTTATTCGTGAATATTTCCTGTTCGGTTCGTCAATTAGTTCGTGTTCGATTAGTTTGATAAATAAATGAGACGAACGTGAATAATTTTTTTTCGTTTGGTTAGTTAAACAAGCCAAACACTAACAGTCGTTCGTGTTCGAATCGTTATTGTTCGAAATATAAAAGGATTTAAAATAATTATATGTTATATATTTATATAATATAAGTTAATAATTAATATAATATATTATTTATATATATTAATATTAGGGATGTCAAATTGGCTCGTCGTTCGTGAATAGCTCTTGTTCAGTTGTTTCGTTAACAAACGAACACGAACAGTGGCTTTGAACGACTTTGCGAACAATTTTGAACACAAACTTATTTCAAACAAACTAAATTTCAAACGAACCGAACACCAACACAAGTTCTATTCGTCCGTGTTCAGTTCGTTTACACCCCTACATACCACACAATTTTAATGTATTTACATCTCTACCATAAAAAAAAAGTATCTTTACATTTTAAACAGCTTGATGTCATAAAACTATATATGAAGTTAATTTCTATTTTACTTCAAGAAAATATATAATGATGATGTATATAAATGTCAAAAACATAAACATTTTATACATGAATATATAATAAATTAATTTTAAATAATATAATAAATAAAGCATAATTACGTCAATCATTCATCACAATGCCAAACCTAACCATAATCGTTGTATGATGTCATATAATTTATTGCAGCTCGCTATTTTTGGACTTATTGCAGGTAGGAATGTAGCCCTACGGCTTGTTTTAGTAGAAAAAATTACACATATACCTCACAATTTATATGTATTTATACATCAAACACTCAAATTTTGATATTTATACTTCTAACTTGTTGGTCTCATAGATTTATGCATGAAAAATAAAATGATGGTGATGTTTTTGATGTAATGTTAAAGATTAAAGTGATATGTTGTAGGTTGATGCATGCTAGAAAATTCGCTGTCATAGAGTAATGGATTGTTATCTTAGCATTGCACGAAGATTCAACACACACTCAGATATAAAAAGACAACAAGTAAGATATCAGAAGCTTTTAAGTTGAAAACCCATAATGGGTAAAAACTATGGGGTCTAACCCAGTTATAAAAATTAACTATAAGTTGACGATTAAATTTCTTGTCCCCACATGTGGGACAGAGTTACAAAGTCTTTCAAATTACAGCATCAACGTGTGGATGAACTTGTTGAAATGAGCAGGTGACTTCTGATAGTGATCAACAACAGTCGATAGATGGTGTTCAACGACGGTCGGCGTTGGTCAATGATAGTCAGTAATTGTCAAAAACGATCAGCAGTGGTTGAACGGGTCGACTGTGGTTGATAAAAATAGGAGTGATATGGGACTTCAGCTACTTTTTCAAAGCTTAAAACTCTTCCTCAAGTCTTAAGCTCTCTGCTCCCTTCTATGAGAGGGGTGGGTTATATTTTTAGAATTCTGGGTGCAATTAATGCAAAAATATTAACCATTTTGATCTGATGACTCAAATGACTTCCCTCGATCAGACGGTGTTCGATGGATATTTAAGTGTTATAATGATGTCAGAATTGTCATAATTGGGTTATCTTGAGCTCGTTGGGTACATCTTGTCAAGACGCTTGATTTGACAATAAGTTTTTCAAATTCAATGTCCATTGGACCTTCCAAATGTGTCTGAAAAACTTTTAAATATGATTTAATGGTTTGATCTGAGCTTGATTTGATTTGTATTGACTCAATTTTGGTATTATTTGGTATGTATATAAATTTGCTGAAATCAGAGCTCTATATGACTCTTAATCTAAATTAAAATATTTCACACTAAAAAATTGCTCCGATTTTCGTGCTAAAAGATGGAGATTTGTGGGAGGAGTGTCATGGTTGAATATAAAGCTTAGGCGTTAGGCATGTAAATTCCTACAATTTGCAGAATATGTGTGTAAATGCCACTTTTGATAAATAATTTGTATATTGGTGCAAGTATGAGTAGGACTCAACAATAAAGTGGGTGCATATATATATATATATATATATATATATATATTATCTATTTAATTTCATTCTTTAAGTTA